CGGTTTCCAGCGCACGCATGCACGCCAGTCAGTTGGTCTTGGCATGCATGTGCATGCCAAAACCCAGAAGACCAGGTGACCAGCACGCATGCGCCTGCAGGAAACCGGAAGTTCAGATTCCCGGCCCGTACATGTGCGCCAGGGAACTGTTCTTCCGGTTTTCGGCGCTCCCCCACGTGCTCCCGTTTCGGCACTCGGTACCAAAAAGGTACCGAGTGCCGAAACTTGCTCTTAAAGGATGCAGTGGCTCAGTGGCTAAGATGCTGAGCTTGTCAGTCGAAAGGTTGGCAGTTCAGCGGTTCGAATCCCTAGTGCCACATAACGGGATGAGCTCCCATTGCTTGTCCCAGCTTCTGCCAACCTAGCGGTTCGAAAGCAGGTAAAAAATGCAGATAGAAAAATAAGGACCACCTTTGGTGGGAAGGTAACAGCGTTCCGTGCGCCTTTGGCATTGAGTCATGCCGGCCACTTGACCATGGAGATGTCTTCGAACAGTGCTGGCTCTTCGGCTTAGAAACAGAGATGAGCACCACCCCCTAGAGTCGGGAACGACTAACACACATGGGCGAGGGGAACATTTATTTTTGCTCTTATGATTGTTGATCAATTTAAAAGAAATTGACCATGACAATAAAATCTAAATAAAGTAATGCTTTGCCCCCCCAAAAACCCCTAGCTTTTCTTCCTTTCCCTATGTGACTCTCTTCCCATCCCCGTCTGTGTCACAACTGATGTTCAGTTTGAGAAACTTGTCTTTCCAGAACACATCCGTTGCTATGTTTTGCACGCTGACAAGGCCAGGAAAAGTTATGCTGTTCTAGGAAATTAGAAGTGGTGGGCTTCTATGGGCTGCCTCTTGGCTTCCCTTCCCATGGAAGCCTTTCCACACACGTGGCTTTCCAGATTACCGCATGTGCAGCTTGCACGGAGAATGACACAAGGAGCAGCTCTGTGGGGATTGGTGGAGTTTCAGCTCACATTTTTGATTCTCTCGCCTTAAATGCCTCCCCGCTGATTTGGGAGAGGAGCAATGCAGTTTTGACAGCCAGTCCCAAACATCAGTCAACTTGTTGGCTGAGCTAGAGGGTCGACAAAGAACTTTTCTGCTAAATTGCTTTCTGTACAAGTGGAAGCAGAGAACAGATTCTGCTGGTTTTTTTGTTTGCGTTAAGTACGGTTAAAAAAACCAGACGTGCAGTAATGGAAATACTCATTGTGACAGACAGGGGTGGTGGTATTTGGAGAAGGGGAAATCTTTACCATAAACAGAGGCTGTGTTACTCTCCCCGCACAAGATCTGGCATTTCGCTCTTCTTCTATAGAAAGCGTGACTCACAGGAAAACAGACAAGAATGGACAAAGAGTTCCAGACGCTGGTTAAAGATGTTTGCAGAGAGAGCAGGGGTTAAAAAGGGCAGCATCCAGTTTGCCCTTCTCAAAGCTATCTCGCCTCCCAGCCAGGTGCAATAACAGCTTTTGGCTTATTGTATGTTGAATGGACCAAAAGGAAACACGGTCGTTGCATCATTTTTTTGATTAGCGGGAGTGCGGGGGGAGAGAAAATGCCTTTTCAAAAATGGATAAATGACACATCTATTGAAGGTCCCATATTTTTCAGACTATAAGACGCACCGGAGTGTAAGACGCATCTTAGTTTTTGGGGAGGAAAATAAGAAAACAGCTGACTGGCGGGTGGATCGGCCTCCCGGAATATCCCCAATCAGCTGTTCCCAGAGGTGAATTTTAGCAACAGGTTCGTTGGTTGTGAGCTCTGTGCCTTGCTTTTTTTCCTGCCTCTGAAACCTCCGTTTCAGAGGCTTTTTTTCTGAAGCTCCGTTTCAGAGGCTTTTTTCTGAAGCTCCGTTTCAGAGGCTTTTTTCTGAAGCTTCATTTCAGAGGCTTTTTTTCTGAAGCTCCATTAAAGACGCTTTTTTCTGAAGCTTCATTTCAGAGGCTTTTTTCTGAAGCTCCATTAAAGACGCTTTTTTTCTGAAGCTCCGTTTCAGAGGCTTTTTTCTGAAGCTCCATTTCAGAGGCTTTTTTTCTGAAGCTTTGTTTCAGAGGCTTTTTTTCTGAAGCTCCGTTTCAGAGGCTTTTTTTTTCTGAAGTTCCGTTTCAGGCTTTTTTTCTGAAGCTCCATTTCAGAGGCTTTTTTCTGAAGCTCCTTTTCAGAGGCTTTTTTTCTAAAGCTCTGTTTTAGAGGCTTTTTTCAGCCTCTGAAGCCTTTGTTTCAGAGGCTGGGTGGGGCTACATTCAGAGTATAAGACGCACCTAGATTTTCATCCTCTTTTTTGGGGGGGAAAGGTGCGTCTTATACTCCGAAAAATACGGTAATCCTTAATGTCCGGAATAATGTCTTCCAATTTCTCAAAATAATTCTCTTAGCCATCTGCCACACCTGATACAGTCAAAGCTCATGCTGCATTTAGCATAAAAATAAACATGCAGGAGTTGCAGTTTTCTCTTTCTCTTTCTATAGGGGATAGGGGCAGGTGGAAGAAATTATTCTGCATTTCATCCAGCAGATGAAAAGATAGTATTTCTTTCTAAGATGAATTGCATTTGAGCTGTAGTGACGCAGTGGTTAGAATGCAGTATTGCAGGCTAACTCACTTCTCACTGCCAGCAGTTCGATTCTGACTGGCTCAAAGTTGACTCAGCCTTCTATCCTTTCGAGGTCAGTAAAATGAGGACCCAGATTTTTGGGGGCAATAGGCTGACTTTGTAAACTGCTTAGAGGGGGCTGTAAAGCACTATGAAGTGGCATATAAGTCTAAGTGTTATTGCTATCTTCCTTCCTTCCTTCCTTCCTTCCTTCCTTCCTTCCTTCCTTCCTTCCTTCCTTCCTTCCTTCCTCCTCCTTCCTTTTAAGTCTAAATGCTATTGCTATTTGTCAGAGAAATCTAGCAGTTCAAGGTGTTAGATTCTGGGCCACAGCTGTTGGTTTGTCATTGCTTGCTGCAAAAGTTGGTAATGGCAGATAATGGTGATACAGGTCATCCTCAACGTACGACCACAATTGAGCCCAAAATTTCTGTTGCTAAACGAGACAGTTGCTAAGTGTGTTTTGCCCCATTTTATGACCTTTCATGCCAGAGTTGTTAAGTGAATCACTGCAGTTGCTAAGTTAGTAACAGGACTCTTAAGTGAATCTGGCTTCTTCCTCCTTGGCTTTGCTTGTCAGAAGGTCGCAAAAGGTGATTGCATGACCCCAGGACACTGCGACAGTCATAAATATGAGTCAGTTGCTAAGCGTCTGACCTCTGATCACATGACTATGGGGTTGCTACAATGGTCGTATGTGTGAAAAATGCAAGTCAATTTTCCCCCAGTGCCGTTGTAACTTCAAACCATCACTCAATGAACTGTTGTAAGTACCTGTAATGGAAAACTCAGTGGAAGCATGTGAAAGTCAACCATAAGCTGCTACCAAACATCATTTCTGATTTCCACCTCATCCCTATATCGATTCCTGATTCTGTTTAGCAAATCCATTAGATTTGAAGGCAATTATTTGTTCCTTTGTTTGTTTATTAAACACAGTTACCGTATTTTTCGGAGTATAAGAAGCTCTGGAGTATAAGACGCACATTAGTTTTTAGGGGAGGAAAACAAGAGAAAAAGATCTGCCTCTGTCTCCCAGCATCCATCGGTATTCATCAGGCTAGCGTCCTTGCAGCAAACAGCAAACAGCTTCAGCACGTTATCGCAGCCTGATTCAGCAGGAGCAGCTGATTGGCGGTTGGATCGGCCTCCTGGAATACTGCCAATCAGCCGTTCCAGGCTGTAGAGATCGCCACAGCCCATTGCCGCCTCAGCGCATCGCGTTTTCAGCCTCTGTGCATCGCATTTTTGGCTGGTCCCAGGTGGTGGGGATTGTCGTCACCACTGCCACCGATCCCCGCCACCTGGAACCGGCCAAAAATGCAATGCACAGAGGCCAAAAATGGGGCATGCAGAGGCCGAAAAACATGATGCACATGGGTGGCAATCGGCAGCGATGTGCTGTGGTGATCCCTGCAGCCTGGAACAGGTCTAAAATAGAGCATGCGGGGGCCAAAAACGTGACGTGCAGAGGCTGAAAGCGGCCGATGGGTGGAGGCCAGTGGGTGGGCAGGGCTTCAGCAACATTCAGTGTATAAGACACACCGCAATTTTCACCCACTTTTTTTGGGAGGGGATGCATTTTATACTCCAAAAAGTATGGTATATAGCTACCCAACTCACACCTAGGTGACTCTGGGTAGCTTACAGCATTTAAGGAATACATTCTACAATTGAAAAGGAATCATTTTGCTACACTTCTCCAAATCAGTTTGGAAGCCTCCAATCTGATCTGGACAATCAAATCCACCTCGTCTTATCATTTGGTTTGGAATCCATTTGGGTTTCTATCAACTCTCCTTTCAATTGAATCTCCAAAGTGAATGTTCATACACCCCTAAGCATCTAGCAATAGCAATAGCACTTAGATTTATATACAGTACCACTTCACCATGCTTTATAGTCCTCTCTAAGTGGTTTACAGAGTCAGCATATTGCCCCCAACAATCTGGGTCCTCAGTTTACCGACCTCAGAAGGATGGAAGGATGAGTCAATGTTGAGCAAATCAGAATCAAACTCCTGTTAACCACTGTGCAACCAGAAAGAAGAATGAGAAAGGGAATAAGGGAGGGAGGGAGAAAGGAAGAAAGGAGGGAGGGAGGGAGGGAGGGAAGGAAGGATAGCAATAGCACTTGGACTTATATATATATACCATAGTGCTTTCCAGCCCTCTCTTAAGTGGTTTACAGAGTCAGCCTACGGCCCCCAACAATCTGGGTCCTCATTTGACCCACCTCGGAAGGATGGAAGGCTGAGTCAACCTTGAGCCTGGTGAGATTTGAACTGCCAAATTGCAGGCAGCCAGCAGCAGAAGTCGCCTGCAGTACTACACTCTAACCACTGTGCCACCGCGACTCTTATTTCTCAAGTATTTCCTTCATTTCTTTCCTTCCAGCAAACCGGCCAGCCTACCTTCCGATCTTTGATTGAACTTAAGACTTGTCTCCAAAGAGAACTTCACATCCTCAATGGCAAAGTTCTCAAACTGCCATCCGATCGTTTTCTTCTTCTTTGTGTGCCTGGACCACCTGATCCTTGCCCAGGATCAACGGGATTCCCAACCCAGCACTGAGCCTTCTATTCAGGTCCGGTTGGCAGGAGACAAGAGGAAGCACAACGAAGGGCGAGCGGAAGTCTACTATAACAACCAGTGGGGCACCATTTGTGATGATGATTTCTCCATCCACTCAGCCAATGTGTTCTGCAGGCAACTGGGCTATGTGGAAGCCACATCCTGGTACCCTGGCTCCAAATTTGGCAAAGGAGAAGGTGAGATGCTGAACAATTATTTGGTTTGATTTGGTTTGGTTTGGTTTGGTTTGGCTTGGCTTGGCTTGGCTTGGCTTGGCTTGGCTTGGCTTGGCTTGGCTTGGCTTGGCTTGGCTTGGCTTGGCTTGGCTTGGCTTGGCTTGGTTTGGCTTGGCTTGGTTTTCTGATCCCTACTAGCAAGCATCAGCCAGAGAAAAGGGGGCTGTTAATATTTGGTGGCATTAGCAATGAAATCCAGCTGGATCTATCCGGCTCGTGTGAACCAGTAGTGCCAGTGGCAGGAGGCTCCGCCCACCCGCCGGGACATCATTGCGTCCCTTTTTTTACCCTCTTTTTTTAAAAAAAATTAATTTTATTTTCATTCAAACATCATCTTAATTCAAACATCATCACCCAGCAATAAAACCCAGTTAATAGAAGCCATCCTTCAATCTTGGTTTCACATTATAACAGCTGCAGAACTAAAAGACTTGGTTCACTCCATGGGAAGACGTTGTAAGGCCATAATTCATGCTAAAGGTTACCCCCAACTAACTATTAACTGACATGGTGATAATTTTTGAATATCTCGTTTTTTCTATGGTGATAATTTTTGTATATCTCATTTCACTTTTCTTCTTTATAACTGCTATTCTAATAGCAAATCCTTCATAAAAGTTATTGCATGACATTCTTGATTAAATTATCTTTCCATGGGTATATAATTTTATGGTACTGCTCCAAAAAAAAGTGGTGTTATTAGCTAGTTTTAGAAAATACACTTTTCCCAAAAGGTTTCCACAATTTTGGCCACTACTGTAGTTGGCTGCAGAGCTCAATCTTATGAAATTCTTTCTGCTCTACAAAGTGGAGACTGGGACCTCTTAAACGAGACCTTTGCTCTTCTTTCTCTGTAGGCCCCATCTGGTTGGACAACCTCTACTGCACCGGCAGAGAGTCATCGATAGCTCAGTGTACCTCCAACGGATGGGGTGTGTCAGACTGCAAACACACCGAGGACGTGAGTGTCGTCTGCAGTGAAAAGAGGATCCCGGGCTTCAAGTTTGAGGACCCTCTGCTCAATCAAATAGAGGTAAGCAAAGTTGGGAGTAATTTATTTATTTATTTATTTATTTATTTATTTATTTATTTATTTATTTATATTTGAATTTATATACCGCCCTTCTCCCCCTAGGGACTCAGGGCGGTGAACAGCCGAAATTAAAATACATACAATATAAAAGTTAAGATAGCTAAAATAAATTAAATCAATCGGCCCCCAATTTAAAACCCCAAAGCTATGCAATTAAAAACTTAACCCGTAAAAAACCTAATTAGGCTAAGCCGGCTTGCTGAAATAAAAACGTCTTCAGGGCCTTACGGAAAGTGCGGAGATCCGGGATCAGTCATATTCCGGGAGGAAGCTCATTCCAGAGGGCGGGTGCCCCCACAGAGAAGGCTCTCCCCTTGGGGGCCGCCAGCCGACATTGCTTGACCGACGGCACCCTGAGGAGGCCCTCTCTGTGAGAGCGTATTGGCCGGTGGGAGGTTATCGGTAGCAGAAGGCGGTCTCGTAAATACCCTGGCCCTAATCCATGGAGCGCTTTAAAGGTGAGAACCAACACCTTGAAGCGCACCCGGAAGACCACCGGGAGCCAGTGCAGCTCGCGCAGGAGAGGTGTTATATGGGAGCACCATGTCGCTCCCGTAATCACCCGCGCGGCCGCATTCTGGACCAGTTGGAGCCTCCGGGTGCTCCTCAAGGGGGCCCCCATGTAGAGAGCGTTACAGTAGTAATGAGAGTTTAGCACCTTTGTTGAAACCTGCAATTTCTCCATTCAGTGCAATTGGCCAATTCCGGCAGCTGCATTGAGGTAAACAGCTTTTCAGTACCTTTATTGAGACTGCCTATCTTTTGCACAAAAAAACTTGAATCTCACTCCAAGGAAATTTGATCCCTGGTGAGTACCTACAGTATATCACAGAAGTGAGTACACCCCCTCACATTTTGTAAATATTTAAGTATATCTTTTCCTGTGACAACACTGAAGAAATGACACTTGGCTACAATCTAAAGTAGTGAATATACAGCTTGTATAACAGTGTAAATGTCTCGACATTATCACTTAGGGGTGTACTCACTTTTGTTGCCACCTGTTTATTGTTTATTTATTTATTTATTTTATTAGTCATATTTCTATGCCACCCACTCTCCGAGGACTCTGGGCAGCTTACACCAAAGACAGTATACTAAATAGCTTATTGCCCCCTAACAATCTGGGTCCTCATTTTACCCATCTCGGAAGGATGGAAGGCTGAGTCAACCTTGAGCCGGTGAGATTTGATCCGCTGATCTGCTGAACTAGCAGTCAGCTGAAGTAGCTGCAGTACTGCACTCTAACCACTGCGCCACCTCGGCTCCTTCATGAATGGCTGTGTGTTGTGTTATTTTGAGGGAACAGCACATTTACACTGTTATACAAGCTGTAGACTCACTACTTTACGTTGTAGCCAAGTGTCATTTCTTCAGTGTTGTCACATGAAAAGATATACTTAAATATTTACAAAATGTGAGGGGGTGTACTCACTTCTGTGATATACTGTAGATACATCCATGGAGTTTTCTTGGGTTAGAGTAGGGGTGTCAAACTCAAAACTGGCGGGCTGGATCTGGCCCATGGGATGCTTAGATCTGGCCAACGGGACCGCCCCGGAAACAGCAAAGGACCAGCCCGCGATGCCTCTGCCAGCGAAAACGGAGTTCGGGACGGCCGCATCGGGAGGGCTGCGAGCTCCGTTTTCATCTGCAATGGCCTCTTGCAACTCTCTGCCAGCGAAAACAGAACTCGGGAAGGCAGCACGGCTCTCCCAAGCTTCATTTTTGCTGGCAGAGCGCTTGGGCCGCCACAGGCGCCCCCCAACATGAGTGACGTCAAGCTGGCCACACCCACCCTGGCCGCACCCACCCTAGCCACACACCCCAGCTCCCCCGAAGTCAAACACAACCCCGACGTGGCCCTCAATGAAATTGAGTTTGACACTCCTGGGTTAGAGAATCAGGAACCTGCCCTTGATGGAGATGCTGTACATGTGCCTCATTTTACTGTTTTGATTCTGCTTAGCTTTTCAAGATCAGTTATAGATAACTAGATAGTTCACCTGCATCCTGCCACTGAAACTAACCGCCTGGCCAAGAGAAATATGTGTGGAAGCACAAATAAACACCGAAAAGAGCATTTACTAAATGTAAAATAAGCTAAGGACAGAAATACAAAGATGCTTCAATTTTATGTTCTGTTTTTATTGTATTTTACTATATTCTATTTTGATCACCTTAAAGTCCGACCAAGAAAATTAGCAGGTAACAAAATAGAAGAGCTAAAGAGACAAGAAAAAAAAAGAGAGCAGGCGACATAATAAAGATCTCCAATCTGAATAAACAATTAAGAGCTAAACCCTAACTTCGGATGGTTTCCAAGTCTTATAATTCATAAATGCGGTCCTGGTTAAATTAAATTTGGTACCTTGTGGACTTGTGTTTTAGAGAATTTACAGTAATTTTTAAAGAATTAATTTTTGACACTGATACTTACTCCTGTCACTTAATCCACATCTTTTGTGATCTGAGGTTTGATGGATGTAATGCAATGTCAAAGATATGGACTGGTGTGGACTCTCTGTCGTCCACCTTCCTTAGAGGGATCGAATTTCTCCATACAGGAATTCTTGAAATCATTGCCATTTTCTAAAGCAGATAAGTAGGATTAGCTCCTTCGATCAGACAACAGAAAAAGCCCAGCTTCTTTTTACGACAGCCCTGAAATAATCATGGAAGAATGCAGAATATGTTGGGGGGGGGGGTAAATAGAGAATTGCACTGTATCCCTTCTGTGGAAGTTTGCCAAGTATTCAAAAAGGACCTTCTTACTTTTCTTGGGGATCCTAGCATTGCAATGTTGAATCTTATATGCAGGGGTGGAATTCACTTACTTTCCTTACTGGTTTGCAAATGTGAGCGCACGCCAGGGGTGAAATCCAAAATTTTTCCCTACCGGTTCTGTGGGCATGGCTTGGTGGGCATGGCAGGGAAGGGATACTGCAAAATCTCCATTCCTACCCCACTCTGGGGCCAGCCAGAGATGGCATTTGCCGGTTCTCCGAACTATTCAAAATTTCCGCTACCGGTTCTTCAGAACCTGTTAGAACCTGCTGGATTTCACCCCTGGCCCATGCACCCCATCCACACATGTGCCCGGCACTTTGCTGCTGTGCGCGCACCTTCTGTGCATACGCCCAGCCTCAAAAATGTGCCTAAATAGCATGTCTTGGAGCCGGGGTCGGTGGGCTCAGCTCGCCTGCCTGGCTGCGGCATAGCAGCTGCTGTTTTCTGGCTCCTCCTCGTTCCGTTTTGCCGGCTGCTCCATTGCCCGTTTCCCCATTGCAGCGCAGTGCCCAGGATCCATTTTGATAGTGGGGGAGGGGGGATTTAACAACTGGTTCGCCCAGGATCAGGTTGAGCCATGCCTCCCACAACAGCCAACCTAACCCTGGGTGAACCGGTTGTTAAATGATTTAAATCCCACCAATGGTCCAGTCCCTTCTTAAAAACCTCCAGTGATGGAGCACTTACAACTCCAGAAGACAAGCTGTTCCACCGATTAATCGTTCTCACTGTTAGGAAATTTCTCCTTACTTCTAGATTTATTTATTAGTTGCATTTTTATGCCGCCCAACTCCCGAGGGACTCTGGGCGGCTAACAACAGAGAATAAAACAATGCGAACAATATCCCATACAAAAGTTTAAAAAGAAAACATTAAAACCCATACACTCCAATTTCGTGGCCGGGTCTCGCAAGATCACCATAGCGAGATCAATGGCCCCAGGCTTGCCAGAAGAGCCAGTGTCAGCGTCTCACTGTTGGCATAGAAAGGAGAGAGATAAACCCTGAACTTTTGCCTGCTAAATCCCTTTGAAGCTGGGTCGTCACGGAAATGAACGGGGGGGGGGACATTCCTGTGAAATGACGAGACAAGAAGTCAGTGGAGTGACTTGGAAGATAGCCAATGAGAAGCAGATAATTGGGGATCGGAAAGGGAGGGATTGGGGGCCAAAAGGTCAGTCTTGTCCGCATCGAGTCATGATCCAGTTGCTGTGCTCAAATAGAGAGAAGATTTCCTTAAAGATTGGCAGTTTGGAAATTCATTTATTTTGAGATAGCATCGAAGTCTGACAGCCAGGTCTTCACCACTTTCCAGAAGGCCAGTAGGGTGGGGGCAGTCTGGACCTCAGGGGGTAATTGGTTCCAGAGAGCCGGGGCAGCCACAGAGAAGGCCCTCCCCCATGGGCCCGCCAGCCAACATTGTTTAGCTGGCGGGACCCGGAGGAGACCAACTCTGTGGGATCTTACCGGTCGCTGGGAGCTATGCAGTAGAAGGCGGTCTTGAAGATAGCCTGGCCCTGAGCCATGTAGGGCTTGGATTTCTCCTTGATAAGTTTCCATCTGTTCAGCTCGGTTTAGCAGTATTCTTTCTGCTCAAAAAAGTACTATGTGTGAGTCAGGGGTGGGTTCTAAATCTTTTTACTACCGGTTCTGTGGGCGTGGCTTATTTTGTGGATTGGGCTTGGAGATCATGTGACTAGGTGGGCGTGGCTAGCTGGTCAGAGTCATTTCTGGAAGGTCCTCCCACTTACGACCAGTCCTCGCACTTACGACCCGACTCATTTGTTTGCTTTTAACACTGATCAGCTGTAGGACGGCCCTTTGAAGCCCCGCGGCAAGAGTTTAAACAGTTTTTTTCCCTCTAGTCATCAGCTGGGATTCAGGAGGCAGCAATAGATTGGGGGTGGGACCAAATAAAAGGTAAGAATAACATGGGGGGGTGGGAGGGCGGGGTGGGAGAACCGGTTCGGTGACATCATATCGTCACCGCTACCGGCTCGGCCGAACCGGACCGAACCGGGAGGAACCCACCACTGGTGTGGGTTTACAGGAAAAAAAAATAACCACTCCAGATATGTGCTACTGTCTATGTTCTGAGTTTCCAACATGCATCTTTTGAGATCTGGCATTTAAAAAAAAAACAAACCACAT